GGCCCATACTATTGCTGATAACTCTCTTTCATTAGTTGCAAAATTTAGTTCCCTGTCCTTTAAAGTTCTCGATATTATGGTTATGGGACTTCCATCCTGTGACAAGACTGCTCCCAAACCAAAAGACGAAGCATCTGTCGTCAAGTCGAACGCTTTTTTGTAATTTGGTTATAATTGCATTACGTTTTCAAAGGTAAGAACATTCCTATGTTTTTCAAATACTTGGCGTTGATTTTCGTCGAAGTTAACAGGTATTTTCTTCGATTGTTCTGCACTTACTTTGCAATTTTCTCCTTTTAGAATGTCACTTATAGGTTTTGCAATAGATGCAAAGTCTTTAGGGGGGCTAAGGTTTATAAATTTTATTTTTCCATTTTTTTTGCATTTTTTTCTTAAAGACAAATATGTTGAGAATATTGCGTAAAAATTTTGAGTCAATTAGTGTCAAACTAACGGAGTTACAGCATTTTAAGGCAGGTTTTCACCTTGTGGCGAAAAAAAATCGATTATTTTTTTTTGGCTTATCGTATAGATATACATACAATGGTGGCCATAAGTATTTTGTCAAAATAAAAGTGAAATATACTCGAAACCTGAACTTGCTTCTTTTATCTTTTGGTATCAATGGAAAGGTAATTCAAATGCCGTTTGAATGATACCATACTTTTCTCAACTCATTCGATATTTATTGAAAAGGGATATTTTAAACAAAAATGTAAAAAAAAAAACTTTTTCCCTCGGCTTCAAAACTAAAATTTTTGGATGCAAAAAGTTTATTTAAACAAAAATAATAGGAACTGCAAAAAGAATTTTTCAGAAATAATTTTTCTTATGGCTGAAATTTCCATCCAAAAATTTTAGTTTTCAAGACAAAAGAAAAAGTTAAAAAAAAATTTATTTTAATTTTTTTTTTAAATTGTTATTTTCAATAAATATCGAATGAGTTAAGAAAAGTATGGTATCATTCAAACGGCATTTAAATTACCTTTCCATTGACACCAAAAGTTAAAAGAAGCAAGTTCAAGTTTCGAGTATATTTCACTTTTTTTTATTGTGAAAATATATAGGTATGCCGACCAGTGTATATATTCTGAATCAGCATCACGATCTGAATCGAAATACGTCCGTCCTCCTGTCTGCTTCTATGTAAACTAGTAAACTAATATTTAGTCGAAAATATGGAAAATGAACAGAAAAATCGTGATAGCTTCGATGTTGTATAGCTTTTATGTACTTTGTTCGACAAATTTGAGGACTGCAAGGCTATATAAGCTTTGGCTCGCCCAAGCTAGCTTCCTTTCTTGTTTCTTTTGTTTTATATGTATTATGCTACTCTTTAAAATACTCTATTTGTTATGGTTATCTTTGAATTATTTAAGGACTCCTTTTTAAGAAAATTCATAAGCAAATAGAGGAGTCCATACTGCGTCTTTCACCTTGCTGATTCCACTGGTTAGCAGGGGTGTTCATCTTTTACAGTTTTATTTTAGTGAATGTCTAAAATATAAAGAAGAAGGTACACAAAGAGAAAACCGCCAAAATATAAGTCAAACTTAATTGTTAGTTATTCCCTTTTGCTGTTACTGGTTAAATATCCTTTTTGGTTTAGGAGTTGATGCTCACATTCTAGCGGATTCATTAACTTAATAGGGGTGCCGTCAATGCACCCTATAAACCCTGGAATAGCAAATTTGTGAAGAAGTGGGTCTTTGACACTGATCTTTGGTGCGCACTCTGGTCCACATTAATAAATGCCTGACAAAGTATTCCCTTCTAGAAGGAGAGGAACAGGCCTCAGAATGTGGCAAACGCTCTGCAGTGAAATGAACCCTGACCCTGACCAAAGCCCTATACTTTCCAATCACTCGCAAGAAGAACAACTACTCGACAATTATACACATCTAAATCTGTTAAAAAACAAGAAAGGTAGCTAGCTTCGGAAAGCCGAAGCTTATATACCCTTGCAGTCATCAAATATGTCGATCAAAATGCATAAGGGCTAAACAACATCGAAACTATGACGATTTTTCTATTAATTTTCCATATTTATACCCTTGCAGAGCAAAAGGGTATTATAATTTCAGTTAGAAGTTTGCAACGCAGTGAAGGAGACACCTCAGACCCCATAAAGTATATATATTCTTGATCAACATCACAAGTAGAATCAGAATACGTCTGTTCGTCTGTCCGTCTGTCTGTTTCTCTTCAAACTATAACTATATCATATAGCTCCCATATGATCTATAGTCGAAAATATGGAAAATGAATAGAAAAATCGTTATAGCCTCGATGTTGTTAGGCTTTATGCATTTTGTTCGACATGTTTGAGATCTGCAAGGGTATATAAGCTTCGGCTTGCTGAAGCTAGCTTCCTTTCTTGTTTTGACTATTGTTCGTATGGCAGCTATATGATATAGATGTCCGATTTTGATGAAATTTAGTTCGTAATTCAAGAGTCGTTAGAAATCTCTATATTCCAAAAATCATGCTTTTAATTTTATTTCCGTTACTTCTATATAGATCTTTCGATCTTTCCTGTGGCAGCTATATGATAACGTTGTCGGATTTTAATTAAATTTTTTTCTCGGTTCAAGGATTATTAAAAAACTCCATATTTCGAAAATCATGCTCGTGGGATTAAAAACAAGGACGCTATAATTTTTTTTTTTTGATTATTTATATACATATATGTATATTTTTTGATCTTTCCTATGGCAGCTATATTATAGAGTTATCCGATTTTGACAAAACTCAATCCGAAATTCAATAGTAGTTAGAAAACGCCATCTGGAAGAAATAAAGTCGATCTGATCAAAAACAACGTCGTGAGAATTTTTTATTTCATTCTCTCGTATAGGAGCTATCCTATATAGTCGCCCGATCCGGCCCGTTCCGACTTATGTACTGCGTGCAATAACTACATAAAGTGAAGTTTCATCAAGATAGATTTAAAACTGAGAGACTAGTTTACTTAGAAACGAACAGAAGGAAAGACGAACACGACTAGTTTGATTCAGATCGTGTTGCTGATCAAGAAAATATGTATATGCTTTATGGGATCTGAGGTGTCTCCTTCACTGCGTTGCAAACTTCTGACTTAAAATTTAATATCCTCTGCAAGGGTATAAAACTGTTAGTAACTTATGGGAAAATAACTTATCAATATACCAAAAAGTTGATGGCAGCAAAAAATTTCAAAATAAATTTAGATTCAAATAGTTTGGTTATCGACTTAAAATCTGGCCGACGATGAATTAGAAAAATATTGTAAGAAAACAAGAAAGGGAGGCTTCGGCAAGCCGAAGCTGATATACCCTTGCAGTCATTAAATATGTTGAACAAAATACATAAGGGCTAAACAACATCGACTATTGTTCATATGACAGCTATATGATTTAGTCGTCCGATTTTGATGAAATTTAATTTGAAACTCACGAGTCATTAGAAAACTCTATATTCGAACAAGAAAAGAAGCTAGCTTCGGCAAGCCGAAGCTTATATACCCTTGCCGTCATCAAATACGTCGAACAAAATATATAAAGGCTTAACAACATCGAAGCTATGACGATTTTTCATTAATCGTCTATATTTTCGACGATTGTTCATATGACTGCTATACGATATAGTCCTCAGAGCAAAAGGGTACTATAATTTGAGTCAGAAGTTTGCAACGCAGTGAAGGAGACACCTCAGACCCCATAAAGTATATATATTCTTGATCAGCACCAAGGCATGCAAACGATTCAACGCTATATGCGTGTCTGTAACGGTCTTGAACTTCTGAAGGATCGACAATGTTTTCAGCGCTAAACAAAAAAGAAAATGTTCTTTACACTACCGCTTTATGGTATGAGCTGACGGTTAGAAATAACTAGTTTGCTGTTGACAATTTCGACCAGGGCTATAGCCAAAATCGTCGTTGTGATGGCGAGTTGAGACTCTTGAGAAGCCTGGGGGCTAAAAGAGAAGAGCTTAAAGCTGCACTCTGTTGGTAAGCCTGCGCGTTATGAACAGTGTTGGCGCCAGATTTGGTAGAAATGGAACAGCGTGGGATGGCGGTGATTGCACTGTAATTTATTGCGAGAGCTACTGCAAAGGTAATGCGCGTAGACCGTGCTGATACGATGACCTGCTTTTAAGCGATCGACGATTGTATATAGTAGGCCTTCCTTTTGCAGAGCGTACACCTTGTTGCGTCGGTCACCAGTCACATCGACTTTCGATTAAATCGATGCCGACTTTTCGGTCCTGCAGGAATTTCTCCAATATTGAAAAGGCAGGATAAACGCTGAAGCTTCCAAGCAAGCGTTCCCTTGGCGCATGGCAGATTGGTTAGCAGGTGGTGCACTAGCCAATGGTCGCAGAAGTATGAATGTTTATTTTTAAAAGTCGTAGGTTACTGCTGCAATCGCTAGCTAAATATTTGTATTTGGTAAGAAGTATGTAAAAGGTCGAAGGTTAACCTTTCTGTTTGAATGCCGATACCTTTAAAATTATTTCAGCTATAATATAGGGGAATACGCGGCTAAAGAAGTATAAGGAAAAGTTACAAGGTTACTTTTACGCCAACACGCAGCAAAGATCTGTGGCAACAACAGTTGAAGTGAAGGAGACATCTCAGACCGCATAAGGTATATATATTCTTGATCAGCATTACGATCTGAATCGAAATACGACTGTACGTCTTTCCGTCTGTCCTCCTGTCTGCTTCTATGTAAACTAGTCTCCCAGCTGAAACTTTTCCAAAAGTTGTGTAGTAATTGCACGCAGTATATAAGTCGGAACGGGCCAGATCGGCCGACTATATCGGATAGCTCCAATAAGAGAAAATGAAATGAAAAATTCTCACGCCGTTGTTTCTTCCAGATGGGGTTTTCTAACTACTATTGAATTTCGGATTACATTTTATCAAAATCGGATAACTCTATCATATAGCTGCCATAATGTGGCATAAACTTCCAGCACACATTTAAACATTTTGTGTTTTTTTTTTTTTTAAGGAACCTTCTCCTTCGGCTCCTATGCCAAGTTCAAGTCACAAACCATCACCGAGTTCATTGAGAAGGCTGTCGAGCACTCCCGAAGCGGCAGGTTAGTACAGCCCGATAGAAAATCGACTTCATTGATTGATATTTTATTATACTCCCCAGATATCTATTCTTTCTGCATCGTCGGCCGGAGCACGGACCAATGCGTGTGCAATTAACCAATCCAGTATCTAGGTTTAAGCATGTACAAAGCTTACAGCACATGTGCAGGTGGGTTTTTGGCGATTTCACGGTTTCCATTTCCGGCCCTGTGATTGAATTCGTGCTACACGACCAGTTGACCAATTATTGTTGCTTTTTTCTTTCCAGATTTGTTATACTTAAGGCGGTTATACGAAAGGATTTAATACAGTCATTGCCATTACCGAGAAGACTTCTAGACTATCTTAACTATAAGCACTGCTATTCCGAGCAGGTGGAGAGCGACAGTTCGCATTCGCAGGTGGGTTAGAAAACATTTAGCAAATTAAATTGGTTGATATTATTATTTATTATTATTAGGGAGGGGGCGGGGGGTTGGGGGGGGGTGAATTGGCTACCTCGAGCCCACTGGATCTATTGTACCCCCTATCTGAGCCCGTGGGCGCTATGACACTGGGCGTTATGCCATGCACCCGTCCTATGGCACACACCTCAGCTTGGAATATGCTGGTGTATTGGCCTAACAATTCATGGTACTTGATTCGTGGTCCTATTACTCCAAGGCCAGTGCCTTGGTGTGTTAGGGACCCGTCCCTATACCACGCTACGGTGTGACTAGCCATGGAGTGTACTTCCTTCATGGTGGTCCATTCTTTCTTGTTGCTTAGATGAGCCGAGAAATTCTTTTCGAAGATGAATTCTACTGTCATTTCGTCCCTGGGGTGTGAACTCAGGTGAAGTTCGACTAGTAGTTTTGCTGCATCCCTAGAGCTGAGGATGCGGTCACTGCCATTACCAGAAGAAGTGTTTCTTAAGGGGTTATATACCTTCTTTGTCGAAGAAAAAGAGGAAAGTTCGTATTTTTTTTTAGGTATGTAGCAATTATTTAATTACACGGGTGTTTTATTTTTTTGATAGTACACTTTATTAACTATGTTTGTGCAAAATTTCGTGGAAAAATATCAATTAGTTTTTAAGGGGTGACTGTTTCCCTTAGAGGCTTTTTTTTTTAGAGCCTTGCGGTGATAACGCTCCTGGCCGAACCGGTCAACTGAAACCATAAAAGTAAAAAAATTTCTTTAGTTTAGAGTAATATCTTGTGCTTGAACGAACGATTTAAACATTTTTTATTTTTTTATGCATACGGGAACGTTTTATGCTAAAAATGAGCTTTTTGGTCTCTAGAAATTTCACTAAAAAATTCATTTCGGCGAAAAAAAAATTTTTGCGTGAAAAGTCGATCGTTCAAGCACAAGACAATTTCATTACGAACATTAAAAAAAAATTTGAAGTAAATCGGCTTAGTAGTTTTCCGCCAATCGTTATCACCGCAAAGTCATTTTTCAAGAAACACCATTTCGAGATATTCGCGTGTAAAGTTTCAAGTTCAGTGTTTTGGGTTGGGCCACCTTCAGAAAATGGTTGACAATATCGTAACGTGGTGGAATAAAATTTAATTCAGGTAAATCTGACATTATTTTGTTCATTTATTTAATTATTTGGGATTTTACAGTCAATATCAAATTATTCAGAGTTGTTTTTTCGTTTGTAGCGAGAAACACTAAAGAAAAAGATAAAAATGATTCATCTTCTTTCAATCCATCGAAATATTTTTTTAAGGATATCTATTTATTTTATTTTGCATATTTTTGCTACAAAATACTTAAATATTACAACAAAAATCGAAAATACACGAATAAAATGTAAAAATTATGATGGCCCAAGCCTGACTACACAAATGGCCCAACCCTGACTACACGCGGTATTAATCTATTATGGTGTGATATAGCCAAACTATATCTATCAATGAAACTATATCTTAGTATTTTGTAATATAACAACTATATAACGTATTTTTATGCTCACTTAGCGGATGACATGTTGTAATCTTGCGTTATTCCACCTTTTCGGCCAGGTTAAAAAAACTTTTTCGAGCACTTTTTTTTCACAGAACTACGACACGTAGAAAAATGAAATCCCGAAATAAGTAGTCACGTGGAGAGTTTCGAGTGACCGATAGAAGTTTCTAGACACCCACTAACAGATGGTACTAGAACGAATATTCAAAATATTGAGATGGCCCAACCCTGACAACGGTCCAACCCTGACAACATTCCCCTATATAACCCCTTAATAGGGGTAACTCTACTACGCAGTGGAGCGGAGTGAGTTCCATGAGAACTTCCAGTGCCGCAGTGGTCACCACCTGTCATACATATGCACGCCAATCTTTGTAATGAGCCTAGCTCTTTTACCCCAGGCTACTGAATCATATGTGAGTATTGGCCTGACAATTTTCCGACAGGTGAAGAGAGCCCTGAGGAAGTTGTCCACTGTCTTTTGCATGTCGGTTGCAAAAGTTAGTCTCCTGTCGAATGGATCTTCGAGGTACTTAACTTCCCGGCTTATTGCTACGGGAGTACCTAGTTGCATGATTTGTCTCATTTTCTGTATCTTATACTTCTTAGTAAAAGGAACAATGACTGTCTTTACGGGGTTGAGGTTAAGCCCAACTTCCCTGCACCAGTAAGGCGTTATCTTGAGTTGTACAATATCGCAAAGCGATTCTTCAAATTTTCCTCTGGATACTATTACTCAGGCACGTATCCAGGGGGTGCCTGGGGGCCCGGGCACCCCCGAAATCTTTAAATTCAAAAATTTTTTCTATTTAAGATTTTTCATTAAAAAGTCTTCAGTAGAAGAAACCTGACCTAACAGGAACGTATAGATCAGTAGACTGAAACTAAGCCAAATTTAATTTAATTTATTGAATTTATTCGAATAAGTCCACATTTTTTATTGATTTTTGTCCTTGAGCACCCCCGAAACAAATTTCTGGATACGGGCCTGCTATTACTATGTCATCGGCATAGCCCTAGCCTTGTATTCCTCTATCGGCGAGTTTCCTTAGTAGTTCATCTACTAGTAGAGGAGATAAAACTCCACCTTTCGGACATCCTCTGCTTGTGGCAACGGTCATTGTGCTATTGCCATTGCCTGTCTGGAGCTTAAGACAAAACGAAGTTAAACTGATAGGTCTTAAGGACTTGGGGTTGGTGATGTCTTTCTTTCCTAGTTTGGGGATGAAGATCACTCTAGCTCTACGCCACGCATTTGGGATATATCCAATGGCTAGGCTGCTCAGCATCAGTCTCCTTAAGCGGGTTGGGAGTAAGTCCAGTCCCTGCTGCAGGAACGATGGAGAGATACCATCCAGACCAGGTGACTCAAATGGTTGGAGGGTCCAAATTGCCCATTTAAGTCTCTCGGGAGAGACTAGAGACTTGGCAATTGCCCAGTCCTCTGCGCTTGGTCTGAGGTGTCTCGGAGTGGACACTGCTTTCATTGCGGTGGACGTTTCTTCCACCAGGGGTGAGCTCCCAGGGAAGTGTGTTTCAAAGAGTAAAGCTAGTTTATCCCTGTCGTCGGAAGTGTAGGTGTTATTATATTTCCTCAGGGCTAGGTTACTTTCTGGTGCAGCTTTGGCCATAGCCTTGTGCAATCTTGCCCCTTCCTGGGCTGTGCTGATTGCCTCACAGAAGTCTCTGTAGTTCTTCCATTTGGCCTTCCTGATCTCTTTGTTGTAGAGCGTCAGGCTTTGCTTATATTGTCCCCAGTTATCCTCTCTCGTTTTTGCTCTGTAGAAGAGCCGGTGGGTGGAGATGCGGAGCCGTTCCAGGTTGGCGTCTCTTTCTGCTTTCCGTCTGCCAAGAGGGCAACTGTCCTCAAAAGCATTGGCTATCATCTTGCAGAGGTTATCCACTGCCTGATCTAATTCTAAGGAATGTCTGGGTATACCTGACGGTTCCTTAGAGAGATTGAGCTCAAGAGAGGACCTGAACCAATCCCAGTTAGTTTTCTTGGGGTTCCTTTTGGGGGCGTCCACACCGCTAGGGACGTCTAATTCAAATCTAATGATCCGGTGATCCGACATTGATTCCTCTGGCGACACATGCCAGTTCTTAATAAGTGATCCTAGAGACCTGCTCATCAGAGTTATATCTAGGACCTCCTCTCTTACTCTAGTAATGAATGTCGGTGTGGACCCGACATTGCCGATTTCTAGGTTACTATTTATAATAAAATCTTCTGCTGCTCACCTCTGTTGTTGACATCGGTGCTACCCCATATCACATGATGTGCATTTGAATCACATCCTATGATCAGGGGCATCTCTCTTCTTCCTGCAGCACTCCACGAGTCCGATGATTTCCGGTTGTGGGCATGCTGCGTCCCCAGCGAAGTAAGCCGACGCTATGGCTATCGCTGGTGTCGTATCTACTTAGATATTCTGAAAAGATATTGTAATTGAAATCTTTCCTTATTAATATGCATGCTCTTGGGTGTATACTCCGTTGGTCGCATATTACCTTTGAGTCCTTGGTGTACAGGCCTTTAATGGTTACACCATGGCTCCTTAATGAGAGCTAACCCAAGATGTTGGGTGGTGAACAGCCTGGCCAGGACGGCGGATGCCGCCTTGGCCCGGTGTAAGTTCACCTGGGCTAGCTGCGTGCTGCGGTGTGCAGCCATTACTTTAGCGGGTGCGCCGGGCGGGCATTCCCCCGCTGCGGCCATCTTTGCCGCCTTCCTGAGTCCACTCACCTAGACGGTCCCGAGTCTAAAGTTTAGCTGATGCCCTTTAGAGACGATCTCATCTCGGGTGAGTTGGTCGATACCAATAACGAGGAGTGCCCCGCCTCCGTCGTTCCATCGAGAGATCACCTTCCAGGCATCGATCTCCATTCTGTTCTGGCGTCCCAGCATCATAAGAAGCTCCTCATTGTTTCTCTCTGTACTTCTAGGGCAGAACACTGTGACAATGTACGCCGCGGGAATGTCGTCTCCTACCCTAGTATCAAGGGGCACGCCCTTCCACTTTCTTAGCTGGGGCGTCATAGCCCTCAGCCAGTCCGCTGAGTCCTGGTCCAGGCAGTCTATGAGGAGGTATCCGACCCTAAAGTGGATCCCGGCCGGGTTGGTCCTGCCGGTAGCCCACGTTCCCGAACTGGAACAGTCGATCGCTGTGGGGGTTGTCCCACATTCTGCGTCCGTGACGCACTCCTGATGGAAGCTGCGCTCCTGGGTGGGGCTGGTCCCACCTGGGGTCGCACTCCGTCAAGGAGTCTATTTTCAAAATGTCTTGCGGCACTTGAGGCAGGGATATCCTGCGGCAATTTGGTTTTCATATTCTTTTTCATAATAGAATCCCACGAGTTGCGGAGAAAGTATGGTCCACCCGGGCAGAGATCCGCCATACCCGGGAAAGGCATGGTTAGGACAGGCGGTCGCCACTTTCCTGAACCCTCCGTGAGAGGCTGGGCTATTTGTTAATCCGGGCCCCCAGCCAGGTTGACTATCGGCACGGGTCGGATGACGCATTAGTACGGCACCGGAGTGAGATTGTGTGGGGAGGGAAGTTGGTAGGTAGTCGTGAGGGAAGAGGGGTGTGGGAGGCTACAATTTTGAAGACGGCCAGACAACCGTCTTCTCAGTACACCGACTCCGATGTACCCGCTGTTTGTCCGGGGTTGCTTATTAGCTTGTGCTTATTCGCCACTAACCTTATAAAAAGGCCGTTCGCTATCCGCAACCTGCGACCCGCCTGGTGGCCCCAGCTTAGCCCCCTCTTGAGCATCTCACTAGTTCTCGAGGAACATGCGGTTGATATTAACAGTGTTAACATTTTAACATTTAACATTTTTTTTGGGGGGGGGGACGGTGGCCCAGCAGGTAGAGCGCTGGCCTCCGGTCCGGAAGGCCCGGGTTCGAGTCGAGCCCCAGGCTCCCCGAGAAAAAGAAACGGTCTCTTTTTCCAAATCTCCACCACTTCTATGCTCTATCGCTCACTTAACATTAACATTAACATTAACATTAGTAACGTCGTCCACGTTACTATGGACCCAACAATAGAATTTTCGTCACTCCTAGATGGCGCCAGGTGGCAACCCCACCGCTAGGATAAGTCGCTACTGGATTATCACCGGTACGATCGAAAATTAATGATAATGAATCCTCTACAAGAAATTGTAGAGGCTCTAAGCTCCCGGGTGGAGTAAAAGAATGTAAATTAACATTTTAATAATCTTTGAAATAACAACCTAAACGATGTAAAGCAATTTGCTTAAACTATTTAGCTCTTGATATTACTTCTGTATCTATTGATATCAGAAAATGTTTTATAGGGTAGACTCATTTAGAAGGACTCATTGATTGTTCGATTTTTTTTTTGTTTTGTGTTATTTTTATATTTTAAATATTTATTTAAATTTCAGATGATATGCGTCTTTTTTAAAACAAAAACAAAACATTTTAAAAAATAAATTTTCACAGTTTAAAAGAAAAAATAATATGCGTTAAAATTTTTATACCCTTTCAGAGCAAAAGGGTATTATAATTTTAGTCAGAAGTTTGAAACGCAGTGAAGAAGACACCTCAGACCCCATAAAGTATATATATTCTTGATCAGCATCACGAGCAGAATCGGAAAACGTCTGTACCTCTGTCCGTCTGTCCTCCTGTCTGTTTCTACGCAAACTAGTCTCTCAGTTTTAAAGCTATCTTGCTGAAACTTTCCCAAAAGTTGTTGCACGCAGTATATAAGTCAGATCGGGCCGGATCGTCTGACTATATCAGATAGCTCCAATACAAGAGAATGAAATAAAAAAATCTTACGCCGTTGTTTTTTAATCAGATCGACTTGATTTCTTCAAGATAGCTTCTAACTACTATTGAATTTCGGATTAAATTTGATCAAAATCGGATAACATACACTGCGTTTCACTTGAATAGCACACTTTTATATGAAATTTCAAACCTTGAAATCTTTTAACCAAAAAGAAAACTCGCTGATGTTTAAGTTTCTATTTATAGTGTAATCATTTATAAAGATAAGAAAAGTAACAAAACTTAAATTAAATTAACAATTAATAAATGTTAACAAAAAAACTTCAAAACTTCAAAAATTCCACAACAATTTTGTTTCACATGAATAGCACATTTTTTTTTTTTAAGTATATTAACGAACTTAAATATAAGGAAACGTGTTTTTATTCAATAGTGAGTATTAATATATATATATTTGTTAATTTAATAATGGATTGAGCCCCCCTTATTCAATATAACCTTGAAGATCCTCTTGGGCAGCGAATCATATAGCCTTTTAATGTAGTCTAGGGATATTGTAGCCCAGGCTCTCTGAATGGCGTCAATTAGTTCTTCTTTTGTTGAAAATTGTTTGCCAGACTCATAAACCTTTCTGGCCAGCCATCCCCAAACATTTTCAATTATATTTAGATCCGGCGAGTATGGTGGCCAGTTCAGAGTTTCAACATTTTTATCTTTTAAAAAAGATTTTACAACACGTGCAGTATGTATTGGGGCATTGTCGTGCTGGAATGTCCAAGGCAAATGATTGAAAAAATTTTCCAATGGTGGAAAAGCTTTTTCAAGGACGTTTATATACGCTTTTGCGTTCATGTTTGAGGATAAGAATTGGAGTTCACAAGTCCCATAGTAGGATATGGCTCCCCAAACCATAACTCCGCCCACTCGACTATGTAAACGCTCCAATTGATGCGTCTCTTTCCTCAGATCATGAAAATAATAATTGTAGCCATCTGGCCCCTCCAAATTGAACTTTTTTTCATCAGAAAAAACTACGCGTTTCCACTCGTTACGCCATGACATATTGACGCTGCAAAAGGTCAACGGTGCTTCCTTTCGTTTAGGGTTAAGCGGTGGTTTTTTTTTAAGTTTCAAACGTTTAAGATGTTTAGCTTTCGAAATAACTCGCCAAACAGTAGTTTTGCTCGCGTCAACACCTGCTTTGGCCCTTATCTTGCTCACAGAGTCATGAGAATTTGAGGCTTCCCGCAGAATCGCACGCTTATCTGTGTCGCTAAGAACACTACATTTGCGACCTTTCATATTTTTTCCATAGTTTTGTTTGTTTTTGATAAAATTGTATACAACTTTTCTGCTTCTTCCAATTTTCTTCGCAATATTAGCTACAGAAAGGTTACAATCAAAATAGCTTTGTATTTGGGTCTGTTCTTTGTGACTTAATGACGTTCCACGACCCATAATGGCACAAAATGATAAAACTATGTTTAAAATTCACAAATTAATCAAAAAAAGTTTATGATACAAGCTGCTTGGCTGCTGAAATGACACTAAGTCCAAAATGTGCTATTCAAATGAAACAAAAAAAGTGCCAGCTGTTAAAGCAAGTTAAAAAGAAAATTACGGTACATTTAAACGGGACATTTCCAGATTTCCAATTTTTGTTGGAAGAAAGAAGATAAGGAGACGAAAAAAAAAAACAGCAACAATCATTACATTAGATCAAGCAATTGCTGAGATATGAACAAGTAACTAAAAAAAATTTTTGTGCTATTCAAGTGAAACGCAGTGTATAGCTACCATAAGAGAGATCGAAAAATATATATAGAATTAATGGAAATAAGTTGATAGCTTCGCTGTTTTTTTTATCCCACAAGCATGATTTTTTGAATATCAAATTTTTTAACAACCCTTAAATTGAGAAAAAGTTTCATAAAAATCGGACAACTATATCTTATAGCTGCCATAGGAAAGATCAAAAAATCTATATAGAAATAACAGAAATAAAATTATAAAATCGTTGTTTTTCATCAGATAAGAATAATTTTTGGAATATAAAGTTTTCTAACAACTCTTGAATTTCGAATTAAATTTGATCAAAATCGGACAACTATATCATATAGCTGCCATATGATCTATAGTCGAAAATATGGAAAATGAATAGAAAAATCGTCTTAGCTTCGATGTTGTTTAGCCTTTATGCATTTTGTTCGACATATTTAATGACTGCAAGGGTATATAAGCTTCGGCTTGCCGAAGCTAGCTTTCCTTCTTGTTGTAAGTTAAGGGGGGGTAAGGCAAAATCATGCGAAAAAAGCCATGTTTTTGTGATTTTTTTCCTGACGACACAGTTAAAATTTATTTATTCAACCAACGGTATATTAAAGTATGACATTAGAAGAATGATTTATCAAATTTTTACAAAAAAATATTAAAAAATATGGCAATGGTAGCAATTGTCCGGACGTGTCGCCAAAAAAAGTTGAATTGCGGTGCCCCTCATAACTCGGTGCTGGATCATATGAAATCAAAAAATGAAAGTTCATTCGTTAGATAAAAGTTCGCCCCAGGTAACGCTGTGAAGGTTTTTTAAAAATTGAAATTTTTTAATTTTTTTTCGAAGACTTTGAAGTGAAAAACACTATTTTTTGGGAAAAAATCGGTTAATTTGTCATTGCGAAATCAAAATTATGAAAAAAAAAAAAAACTCGACAGTGTTACCTCGTAAAATATGTACAGAAATAGTGTTTAAAATTTCAAAAGGACCGGTGCAGTAGTTTTGAAGTTATGAGGGGTACCGACTTTGAAAACGTGAGTTGTGGGAAAAACGCTTTAAAGTTTTAAACACAAACAAATTCAGTGTAAAACAAAAATCCGGCAGGTAGAAATGATTTAATGTCAAGAAAAAGGCTTATTTATGTTAGTCCTACTGTATGAGTATTTCCCGTAATATCTTCCAGAACATTGAGAATAATGCTATGCTTTCGCGAAAAAAAAAACAAAACAAAAGTTAAGAAATACTACATTTAAAAAATAAGTCAATATAATGTCATAAAGTAATTGGAAAACTCTTGAAGAGAGTGGTTTAATTTCAGTTTGAAGTTTGCAACGCAGTCAAGGAGATACTTTTGACCTTAAAAAGTATATTATTCTAGGTCAGCCGGTCTAGACGTGTCCGTCTGTCTGTAGCTACGTAAACTAATTTCTTAATTTTAGAGCTAAATCACAGTAAATTTACCGGAAGTATTGTGGATATATGTATACATACATGTGGCTATATAGCGGAGTTTCATTATTTTTTCAATCGTTGCTGAGAAATTTAAGTCAGCTTTTTATAAATTAATTACTAATTTAATTTTTTTTAATATATTATAGATATCTGGCGATGGAACGATGTAAGACAAGTAAAAGAGAGACGATTCGCTTCTGACAAGAAAACGTAAACGAAAGCAACAGAAATTATTACCTTAAATAAATAGTAGAATTTAATGAAATAGTAAACAACAGAAACAAAGCAAACAAACAACCGTTAACGTTCTGTATAACCAGAACAAACAAATAAAAAATGTTAAATGAGTAAGCAAAGCGAAGAAATTGTTAGTTTTGCTATAAAAAAAAAAAAAAAAATCAGAAAACCAAGAAAACCAAGAAAACAAAATTAACAACTCTGTTTTTCGATTTTTGTTGTACTCGGTGCTATACTATAAATATTAACTATTTAATTAAAGAAACGCAAAAACCCAGAGCATGACGATTATATAAATGAATTATGCGTAGTCAAGTAAAAGAATTGTACATACAAATTTTTGAGAGCCAGATTTCCAATTCCCACTCCAACCCCTCCCCTTTGGGCACGAATTAGACAGAGAAAGAGACAAGGTCGTTGATGTTTTATGTAATCGGTCAATTATGTTTATGCTTGCCTTTTAGCTGTGATTTAATTAAGTCGTCGAATGTTAATTGGAAGACCATTGTCAGTTTTATATTTAATAGATTTGAAATACCCTATTCAACAATTAGTCGAGGTTTTGTTATGCATATTCGACCTAAAACCATTTCAAAGCTACTCAGTCATCACAACGCCCGTGCCCAAAGGTTTTTAATAAAGAGATCCCCACAGGTGGCGATTGAATATATAATAATTTTTTTTTTAAATTAGTTTAATACATGTTATGTACTCAAATGATGGTAATGAGAATAGCAATCGATGCAAAACACACAGATTAATGGGAAACAAACTTATATTTAGGTTTATTTAAATTGTTAATAATTTTTGTTTCGGTTTTGTTATTAATGCTTTAAGCTCAGCTCTTTTGTACACTTATTCATATATTTCGTTTTTAATTTGTATTTATTATTGTTTCGTTAAATGAAGTATACGGCAACAGAACCTTCTCCAATCCAAGCCATGCCAAATTAAAGTCCGTCTTAGACTCTGCTCTTCCTTTAATATAAAACAAACAACCATCAATTAATATAAACGAATGATGATAAAAAACAAGGCAATGCAGACTATAAAAGCGGGGAAGGGGAGAACAAACGGCCACAACAAATGAGCAAAACAACAAAGGCAATATAAAGAACAATTTTAATAATAGAAATTAAACACTGATTTTTTCTGCATTGGTGGTTTTTGGTACACTTTTGGTGATTCTTACAAACTAACAAATAAGTAAGTCGAAGTAAGCACGAAAACGGATAAGTTTTAATAAATTTATTTTGAAAAGAAGATCTATCTATCTGTTCATCCGTTAGACCGTCGTGATCTCTGCGCAAGTTAATTTAGTTTGTGTGCGACGGACATTTTTATGACCACATACCGCAAAATTTTGTGATACCCCCAGTTTTGATGATACAGAAACGTGGAAAATATATTTGGACCCTAAATGTCAGGAGCAGTCATTAGAAACATAACATAATCAAAACTAATTTCTGCTTGCACTTGGCGCTTATTCGCTCGCTCTCAATCCTTTGCATTTACATCAATAAAAAAATAGCCCATTATTTGGATCCTTTTGTCTCCTTTTCCCTAAAATGTAATCATTTCACATTCCGACACCGCAGTGTGTTTTGTTGTTAATCATTCGCAAGAAGGTGGCATAGATAAATGCCAGCTCAAAACATTGGTGACCCCAACGTGATGGTAAACGTGTGTTAAATATCGTTTTAATAATCTTACACTCGTCGGTGCTTAGAGCCACACATATGTACATACATACATATGGGTGATACCTAATTGAAAAACATTCAAAGTGCGCCCGAGCAATGTGCGGATTGCGCCTTGGCATGTCGGAATATGTAAAAACTTCTTATTTGTTTTGGGGCTAGCCGAGTTGAGCAGAAAATTGCAAAAAATCTCCGAGCTCCTCACAAAGCGTTTTTGCACATAAAAAATGAATGTCCGGTTTCGAGAAACTCAAAAAGCATACATCGATTGACCGGACTTTTACGACATTTTTAACATGGTTGTGGGAACAAAAGAGGATTTGAAAAGGTTTCTTCGTTCGTGTTTGTCGGCTCAGAGTTGGACATCGTTCGCTTACTGGAGCCTACTGAGAGGAATTATGAGAGGGCCTTGGAACTATTAATTTTGAGATTTGATAATACATTTTTACAATTTCAAGCACACGTTCGGTCATTATTCAGGCCAGGTTGGATAAGGGATCTGTAAGAAGTTTGTGTCAACTATGCGACAAGGCAAATTCGCACTTGCTCGCCCTTACTACTATGGCGTTTATTTAGTAGATTTCCGACGACATTTTGATGCATTTCATCTCTTCAAAGCTGGACCATCATACTCAGTTTTCTGCATTTTTAGACCTAAGATGACGAATAATTGAGAATTTGGAATTTTCTATGGTTAACCAGACACCTAGCAAGCAGGTGGCACAAGTAGCTTATAAATTCAATCGTAGCACCCTTCTTGCATCATCATTAATATTGTCATACTGCACACTATGCGGGTTTTAGGAACTTTCTCTTTCAAATTATAGCAATTTTTAGGATCGACCCGCCATCAGCCGTACAGAGAAGCAAAGAGGCTGCACCTTTGCTAAAATTTCCAGCGAAAGGGACTCAGCTTACAGCAGTGCAACTCTGACAACTGTCGGCACTGTTGCTAGACACATTTACACTCATATGGAATCGAGTCCTATTACCTGGAGCAGCCTGGTCGCATAATCCTATTTCATTAGCTCATAGGACGTCTCTGTAGCCTTGGCAAAAAACCCAACTGGAGCCCTGTCCACATCTTGTACTGAATACGTGTTGCTTGCTACCTTCATAATATAAGTTAATAAAGTGGGTTTGGTTTAAGTTGTACTATAATTTATTGATCCCGAACTCTTTGGAGTAAGGGATAATTTGGATTTGGTTTTGTTACAAGTTGATCGGAGCGTAATTCGTAACTAATCTAAACTTTACCACGGCTGCAGCTCCAAGCCTACTTTGAGCGACAGCGCAGTTGGCTAAAAGCCCTGTCAGCACTTAGGCTCTGCCAGGTAACGATCACTCGCTGCAGGCGTGTCGGAGTTGGGCAGACGGCGTTGGCCCCTGGAATGCGTGGTCAGCTTTTTCGACCTTGCGCGTGTGGTGCACCTTATCCGGTGCGCAACCTTGCAATTTCCCTGACTTTTGGCTGCGCGTGTTAACTTATACGTCAAAAATCGTTCGAGCGTATTTGAGCCTTGCCGGGCTTTACTCGATTCGGCTTCTTAGATTAACTTTGTAACTTCTCGTATCGGCAATCAGCTATTACTGAAAATCCATCACTCAGCCATTGTCATATAAGCAGTTGGTGAATCTCCGCTGATATGGGATAAGCCGGTCTATATTTTCGCACAGTTTAGCGCATTGTTTTCAGCTGCTGCCACTCACTCTACGATTATCACCCATTGTTTTTTTTTATACCCTTGCAGAGCAATGGGTATTAAGTTTTCAGTCAGAAGTTTGCAACGAAGTGAAGGAGACACCGCAGACCTCATAAAGTATATATGAGGTGTGTTCAAAAAGTATCGCGAATTTTGTGTTTTTTTCAAAAATTATTTATTTATTCATGAATATATATTTTATCCCCTTCAACGTAACCCCCATGCGATGCACTTGTGCGAAAGATTTTTCCAATCTTCGAAGCACTTCAAAAAATCATTTGTTTTTATCTTGTTCAGCTCCTCCTTCGATGCCGTCTTTATCTCGTCAAGCGTAGCGTAACGTCGTCCTTTCATGGGCCTCTTCAGTTTAGGAAACAAGAAAAAGTCACAGGGGGCCAGATCCTGGGAATACGGTGGCTGCGGCATCATTAGTGTGTTGTTTTTGGCCAAAAAGTCGCGCTCAAGCAACGATGTGTGAGCAGGGGCGTTATCGTGGTGCAAAAGCCAATTTTTGTTCTTCCACAAATCCGGGCGTTTCTGGCGGATGGCTTCGCGCAAATTGCGCATAAATTGCAGGTAATATTCCTTATTGATGAAGAACTCATGATGCACCACGCCCCTGCAATCGAAGAAAACTGTCAGCAAAACTTTCACATTCGACCGAACTTGACGCGGTTTTTATACCCTTGCAGAGCAAAGGGTATTATAATTTCAGTCAGAAGTTTGCAACGCAGTGAAGGAGACACCTCAGAGTTATCTGGTTTTCATAAAATTAAGTCCGAAATTCAATAGCAGTTAGAAAATGCCATCTGGAAGAAATCAAGTCGATCCGATCAAAAACAGCTGCCTGATAATTTTTTATTTCGTTCTTTCGTATGGGAGCTATCCGATATAGTCGGCCGATCCGGCTCGTTCTGACTTATATACTGCGTGCAATAACTAACCACCTTTTGGTAAAGTTTCAGCAAGATATCTTTAAAACTGAGAGACTAGTTTGCGCGGAAACGGACAGACGGACAGACGTACAGACGTACAGTGGCTCACAGCTTATTTGACCCACCTTGTATATTTAAATTTAAGTGAGAATAACTTTTTAACTAAAGCAGATATTAAAAAAATTAAAACGCAGGTTTTTCGGCGGGTATTGTAGGAACAACAAAGAACTTAAATTTTATTAAAATAACAAAAGGTTTTATAATTATTCAACTAAAAATAAAAATACTGCAGTTTTCTATGTCACAGCTTATTTGACCCATTGCATTTAATGCTTAGCTTCTCTTCCAAGAAGTATAATTTAGCGGTTCTTTTTTTTGGTTACTCTTTGCTCAATGTATTTGCAAATAGAATTTTCACTTTTGATTCGATTTTGTCAAGAAAGCACGTCTATTAACCATGGGAAAACGCACAACCATCGAACAACGTGAATTGGTCCTTAAACACCATAAAAACGGTGTTTCCCGGCGAGAAATCGCTAAAATTCTGAACATACCAGATGGTACTGTCAAAGCAATCATCCACAGATTTGTTTTTGAAAACCGCGTGGAAGACAAGGGCAGAAAAGCGCCAAATAAGATTTTCACCGAAACAGATGAACGCCAAATTATTAGGAAAATCAAAAAAGATCCAAGGATTTCGGCGCCAAAATTGGCCACTGAAATGCAGGACATAACCGGCAAAAAATTTAGCACAGAAACAGTCCGACGTGTTTTAAGAGAACATGACTTTAATGGCCGAGTTGCTCGCAAGAAGCCGTTCATAAATAAAAAAAATAGAGACTCCCGCTTGAAGTTCGCAAAGGAACACGTTAAAAAGGACATAGGATTCTGGAACGATGTAATTTTTGCTGATGAGTCCAAATTTAACATTTTTGGTTCCG